AATTTTTCGGTTATCTTAATTACGAAAATTGAAAGTTAAGTTGAAATTTAAAGATTCGATCCGAATTAATCACGTTTGATCGATTTTAAAATTTTCCTAAAAAACAAAGCCAAATAAATATTAAATAATAAAATTAAATAAAATAATAAAGTGAATATTAAAGTGAAATTTAAAAAACATTAAAATTAGGGTCTGAATAAAATAAAGTTAAAAAAACATCAAAAGACTAAATCAGAAAAATACAAGGAATTGGAGGTCAAATTAAAGTTAATTGGGGGTTGCAATGTAAGAATGAGAAATTAGATAGCTTAATTGCATAAAAAATATGAACAGGGATTAAATCAAAACAATTCAAAATTCTAGGGTAAATTCAACACGGGTGACCAAAATGAATTACACTTCAAACTTATAGGGACTATGGAAATAATTTAAAATTTTTATATTTGCACTTTAGTCCTCCGTTTATATAACCCCTAAAATCTAAAATTTTCTCATATTTTCACCCATTCCTTAAAACAATCTCCCCCTTCTACGAAACTCTCTCAACTTCCTCTAGCCTGCCACTGGTCGGTCGACCATAATTGTCGCTGCTCCGCCCCACCGACCACCGTCCCACGTTGGTCGGAGCTCTAAAACCTACCCGAAAGCTCCCCTTCGTCATCCTGAAGCCAAAACCAAACCCCAAACCTTCTAAAACACCCCAAAATGAAGTAGATCTAGGATTAAAGCTTCTATTTTACCTAGTGACCTTCCGTATTCTGGCGTCCTTTTTCCTCGCCTTGGTGGTTTCCTTCGTGAAGCCAAATATGTTCTTTCTTTGTGCCTTTATTTTGTGATGGATGTTCAAATATGGTTTGTTTTTCTACTTGTGTAATGTTGGATTGTTTCGGTTTCTTTGTTGTTGCTCGTACTTTGCTCGATTTTTTCTTGTGTTTCCTTCGGCATCTTGGTGGGGGTATTTATACCCACTCTGCCGGTAGTCATTATCGAACATCCCAGGATAGGTCAGTCCCATTCGACATTCATGACACGACTTTCGGTTTGTGGAATATATGTTTTCTAATTTTTTTCAGGGTTTATAGAACATTTTAGCTCCATTTTGCGATATTTGTGGCTTCAGGTGCCGAGAATCTCGACCGGTGGATGATTTTGCATGCGTGTGACCTTCACGCGCCTTTAAATGGTGACCACTGCCCTCCTGGTGTAGTCTATATCGTTAGATCACATGGCTAGATCTAACGGGCCTATGCCTTGGTATATGTTTATTTTAGGGTTTTGTGACCCTAACCACCCTCGATCTGGGTCGTTAATCCTAGCTTGATCTCGCAGTTGGAAACGCGCAGCGCCTTAGCTTATTACAAAACCCTAACTCTGTTGGGCTCGCCGGCTGGGTCAGGCTTGCCCACCCGGTTGGGTTCCTTGCTGGGCCTCTTGGACTATTGGACCGAGTTGGACTATTGAACCTGGACCTTAATTGAAAATAAATAAAAATAATGATAAATAAATTAGAACGAGATAAATAAATAATAATATATAATAATAACGACTATATTATATTATATGTCTTCGATACTTTTTCTTTAAAAACCATATATTATATGCTTCAAAACCATTTCGAAAAAATATATTATATATATTTTCAAAACCATTTTTTTAAAATTTTATATTATACGTTTTCAAAATTATCTTAAAATCTATATACTATATGTTTTCAAAATCGTTTTAAACTATATAGAATACGTTTTCAAAACTATTTTTAAAAATTATATATTATAGGTTTTCAAAATTATTTTAAAATTATATACTATACGTTTTAAAAACTATATTTTTAAAAACTATATATTATATGTTTTTGAAAATCCTGCTTCAAAGCATATAGCATATACCTTAAAAAATGTTTGAAATTATTATATATCTATATTATATACTATATAATAAAAAAACCCTTAATGTTGCGGATAAAAATGGGTGTCTATAGAGTCGAGTCATATCGGATTCGAATTTTATCTCAAAAAATCAGGATGGATCCGGATCGGGTGGAGAGTATATATTTTCGGGACGGATCAGGTTGGCCGAAACTCATCCCAAACCCAACCCATGCCCATCCATAAATATATGCCACCATCAACTGGAAAAAGAAAAAAAATAAAATTAGAGAAATATTATAAAAGGAGTAAAAGGAAATAAAAAAATCGGCTTTCCCAAATATTCCATATTGGAAGAGAAGTGCGAAGTACTACTTTGGATACTACTTTTGGTTGTATGCCATACAACGCGAAACGGGGGGAGGGGGGAGGGGGGGGGGGAGGAACAACCGAGTAAAATGAGAAAGAAACAGTGTTTTTATCATTAACAAATCATAGTAGTTCGTTATATAAATTTTTTAAATTTTTTTATTAAGTTAAAGTGATTATAATATAATATATTTTTAATATTTTTAATTATTTAATAATAAATATTCAATCACCCTGTTATAATTATTGGTATTCAAATCCATAACCTCTAAAAACAACAATAATTCTTTTAACCCATCTCAATTATAGCTAATGAGAGAAGCAATGCATATAAATATATTTTATATGGAGTCACAACTGTTACATACCTGGGGTATTAGAAGAAAGTCTCACCATCGAGGAAGAAATCATAAAATCAAGATAAATTATACATTTAATATTTAAACTATTAATTTGGATTCATTTTAATATCTAAACTTTTAATTTTTTTAAAATCATACTCAACGTTTAGTTTTTGTTTCATTTTAGTACATCACCGTTAAAAACTTAATACATTTAGTACCTGAACTATTAGTTTTTGTGTTTTAATAACTTTAATTTTCATTATTTTTTAAAACTTAACATTTAATTTTGAACGGGGTACTAAAATGAAACAAAAATTAAACTCTAGGTATAATTTTAAAAAATTGAAAGCTTAAGTACTAAAACGGACCAAAACTAAAGTTTAGGTACTAAACCATAATTTTATCCTAAAATCAATGGCAGGCCTGAGTCCGCACCAAGGCTGATTGAACTCCAACAGCTCCATTCAGTTGGTTGAAATTGATTAAATCTAATATAATAATCTGAACCCATTTTGGGATAAAATGGCACTAAATGCTACACGAACCTTAAGAAAGAAGTATAAACAAACAAGTGGATTGGGTCATTCATGGTGTAATTAATATGGACCCATAAACGCTTAAAGAGACGCTACATGTTAGTATTATGGGCTCTGGCCACTGGCAATTTAGGGTCGACTGCAGACCGAGCCAACCGGGACGAGCACGAGTCGCTGATGAGGCGGTTAACTTGGTGCTCCTTAACTTCTGTTTGTTTTCTTCTTTGTTTTGTTTTGTTTTCTGGAGGAACTCTTACCTCCAAGAAACCAACCATGGCATCTTTCATCTGTCTATCCGTATTGCCACCTTCCAAAACCCTAGCGCCGGCACAACTTCCAAGAGCTGCGGTTGCAGATGCTCCCTCGTCGTCTCCGTCTCTAAGGGACATCAATGGGCAATGAGAAATAGGCTTCAGGTGATTGGTATGGCTCCCGAGGAGGAGAAATTGACTCGACGCAATCCCCTCGATTTTCCCATTGTAAGTTCCTTCTCTTTTTATTCATCTATAACTAGTTTTAAATCTCCTTGGTAACGGGACAGGGAAATTCCAAACGACTGATGTATTTGTGTTTAGCTTTGTGAGTAAAAGGCTCGGTGGGATTTTGTTGGGATGGGTTTTGTTTGAATGATGGATACTGATTAGATAATTCAATCTTTGGACAGTCATGTTTCTTTGATAAATAAATTATGTTTTTCTCGTTTGGTAATTTATTTTCTAAGATAATATGATTAAACATGAGCGCCTCGGTTTTCATGGCAGGAGTGGGAGAGGCCAAAACCTGGGCGTAGACCCGACATATTCCCTCAATTCAGCCCAATGAAAACACCGTTACCGCCACCAATGCCATATGACCCTCCCGAAGAAGATGAAGAATAGGAAGAAAAGAAAGAGGAAGAGGAGGAAGAACCTGAAAAGGAAGAAGAACCCGAGAATCCCGAAAAGCAGTCCTGAGAAACAATAGTTAGTATTTTGCTACTACAATTTTGATGTTTTAAATTTCCAAATTCCAATGGTGGTTACCACTTGATTATGTGCTACTGCTTCATATATGCAGTGGATAAGATTCATCTATTTTAGAATATGGTGTCGAGTGGTATCGCCATATTCGAGTCGAGTGGATTGTGCAGGCATCTCATTGGGATTTATTGTCTTATTAGGTTACTATAGGGAAATTTGGTCCGAGTTCCTGATTTAGAGTATTGTAATCCACAAGCCTTTCCGATATGAATATACTCGAACTTCAACTCTTCGTTGTTCTTGTTCATTTGTTTTCGGGACTACAAATTTATTGGGAACATGAGATTCAATGTTGGCAATTCAAGTTTGAGATTTTGATTGCAGTAACTGCAATGTATCAGTTGTAAGTGAGGAAAGAACTTCAGACATTGTAGGTCTGTTAGTTGCACTCGTTTGTACACACAGCAAATTATCTGAGTGCAACTCAGCAGCCATTTTCGGAGCATGATTGCCTATGGTTTTTGTCGTTGATAATGTATTTACTCCTGATAATCCACGGTTATACTTTGATAATGAAATGTTGTCATCCACCACAAATGACTGGAATTGAGCAGGAAAAATTTTGAATTTAGCGTACTGGGAATGTTACTTTTGTGGCTTGTACCTGCTTCAAGATCTTGAGAGCCGAGCGGCTCATGGCGATGCTCTATGAATCAAACTATGCTATGGTAATTAAAATGACCTCAATGAACTTGAATGTCGAGAGAGAAAAGACAACAAAGAAAGCACCCTAAGAACCAAGGAGTTGCTTACACATTCCCGGTTCCACATGTCCAAAGTCTCCCGATAATTCACCGCCTACTGTTTCTCCCCCAAAAGAAATCTTTCTTTCCCTTTAATTATTGTTCCTTTCTGACAACCCTTCTCTCCTAAAAAGAAAACGCAGAGAGAAAGTAAAACCAATGGAGGGGGCATCCAAGGTAATCATGAGCGCAACACTGATAATGGTGGTGAGCCTGGCTATTGTATTAGCTCTAATCCTAGTACTGTTAGCCGAGCTCTTTTGCTCTCTATTACTCCGCTGGCGGCGGCTTAAAAACTCCACCTCTGCCTCCGGCCCTACCGTTACCAACACCGCAACTCCTGCACCTGCCTCTACAAACACTGCTTCTTCCTTTCCTTAAGACAACCCAAACCAATCAACCAGTTCCCTAAGGAGTTGCTACGCACAAGGATTTATTCATCCACCAAGGAACTTCCTTTTCCCTGCAGCATTACCTTGCAAGCAAAACAAGCTCGAAAAGTATTAGGGTTTGCATCCTCAAGTTCTTGAAATTCATTCCCAAGAATGGTGAGGACAGTTTTTCTACATATCGAATCCCGTTTATGACAATGATGCTGGTTGCAGCAAGCCAAATACTCTGTTTGAGACTCCGAATTCATTGCCTTCCGTTTGAGCCTTCTCGTCATGTTAAAATACTCACTTCCAATGACACCTCCATCGAGTGAGTCCAATGAAGAAGCTCCCAGCTCAGGCTTGTTCTGTGCCTCTTAAAGATGCTAGCACATTAGTCACTTCAGGCATTGATTCTAATAGCAACAATGGTGTTTCATCATCTTCATCCGGTTCTCCATGCACTTTTCCTTCATGATGATCAGGGTTTCTGTCAAAACTCAACTAGACAGGGCATAAACAAAACCTGCATTTTGATCTTTTTGTACCATTTTCTATAAGCTTTGAGAGGGTTTTTGTGTGTGAATATAGTAACGTAGACGGTAGCTGGCTGTAGCAGAAAAGAAGATAAACATGTATTCTATAATTTTCTAAAATTCTTACTTCCTCGTGTTTTTTTGTTTACTTTACAGAAATGCTTACTTGGATTCATATGCTTGCTGGCTGTGTTGTTGGTGTTTGTTGGCCGGAAAAAAAAACGAAACTTTATGGGTTATTTTTTCTCGTGTATTCTGGTAAGCACGTGATTGGGAGAAAAAAAAACTTGGACAATTTTTTAAAAGGACAAATCTTTCTATTTTCCAGGGGCCTTGAATGTTGATTCCTATGGCATAAAAAGTCAATTGTCACCAGCAAGGCTCTGGCCACATTCATGATTTGTTGGTTTCCAAGAGCTCCATATGGTAAAGAAGCTTCAGTTTATGAAAGTTTGAACTCATGTGGGCACCCCTTGCCTCGCTACGTGGAATTGAAAAAACAACCCTCCTCGAACTGAAAAGAATAAATGAAAAAGAAAAGAATCCACCACTGGAACCTTGTGCCCCACCAACCAGTTTATATTAGTGAGCATTTATCGTGTATCAACCCATAAATTTCCAATCGGTTGTGTACACAAATGTTTATACAATTTTCAACTTTTATATTCATTTTTTATGGACAAAATCATGATATATACCGTATAGAATTTGATAATATCTTATTATTTGATACGAATTGTGACATTTAATATCGAACCTAGTTATTAAAAGAATAGCCTCCGAGGCATTGGCTATGTATCTAGACATTATTGGACATGAGCACTAATAAATCAGTATTCAGTCATTTCTTTGCAAAGAACCTTTATTCATTCGGGGTTCCATGTTCATCTCCTAACACAAAATGACAGTTGTTGACACCGTTTTTTGCCCGGGCGGAGAAAAATTTAGTACGACTTGAGGGTTTTTCTTTGAAAATGTTTTGAAATGTGAAGAATCGTTATCGATATTTTTAAGTTAGGTAGGTCGAATACCTAAAAATTTTCTTTTAAAAATAATTTTTAATAAAATATCATTTTAAAAGATAAACCGATCTACGTGTAACTGGAGAAACCCTCAAGTCGTACTAAGTTTTTTCCCGCCCGAACAAAAAACGGTGTCGACAACAGCAATTGACAATAAAGTTGAAAAAGAATAAGAGACTAAAGCTGTTTTGTGTTTCAACAGTGTACATACAGCCGATATTCATCGAAGCAATTTCCACTAGATAACAGCATAATCATCGGTTTCAACGACCTGCAGTGATTTCTCAACCTGTCAATTAATGAGGCCTAAAACAGTATTGCTTGTAATTAAGGAGAAATTCATAGATCTTAATTCCGGTAGATGAATTTTCCCTTGACTGAAAAAACCATGTTCCCAGATTTGTTTTGTTGAAAACTGATTTTTTTTTCCAGAACCTAGTACCCGAATAGTCTCTCAAAACTTCATCTAAACAATATTGCTTGTAATTAAGGAGAAATTCATAGATCTTAATACCCGAATACTCTCTCAAAACTTCATCTAAACGATACAAATAGCATACATATATACAGCAAACCTTCATGTCATCAGGAGCAACAGAAGAGCCTTCTTCCGGTATCTTGAGGTCGGATATGCAATTTTATTCCTTTCGTACGTGATGGAGCAGCTTTTGCAATCCTCTTAGCTGCAAGAGAGTGTGTGAGCTTAAGAAAGTTCAGAGGATGCCTGCGGATTGACATCATATAGGAAGGAAACGACTTGTGAAACACGGTATCATTACCTATTTCGTAAAAGAGTTCGTTGACATTCTGTGCACTCTTTGCGGATGTTTCGAGGAAACTCATGCCATTTTCTTTGGCATATAGCTCACCTTCCTGCACAAGACATTACAATTGATTTAAACATATACAGGGGACATTCAACTTTTTTTTTTTCAGTTTTAATGTTTTCCTCATCCATGTTCAGTGCAATGATAATATGCCCTTCCTACCATGTAGCATTAGTAATATAACTAACACAGTATAGTTCATATTTTCCTGATATTGTCTTTGATATAGAAGTGTGATATTATGTGCAACATCAAGCCAATTTTGTAATATCCCAGCATAGAAGAAATCAGCTTAACCTGCGATCTTTTCGAATTGGAGAACAAGAAATAGATAATCGAAACGAAATTCAGATTGCATATACCTCATTTCCCACTTTCTCCTCTCTTCCAATATTGGAATAATTGTAATGCATGAGTGTGATTGTGTGAATATAGGTGTGAGTTGGTTAGTTGGTTAAGGGCTGTTAGCAAGTTGTTAAGAGTCGGTTAAGGCTGTTAAGCCAGCTCAGCTAATAGAGTATATATATAGATCTAACTGAAAAATAAAAGAAGAATAGATACATTTTCTGTATTACTTCATTTCTCTGGAAATATCAACATGGTATCAGAGCTGGATGATCCGGACGACTTGCTTCTATTTCCGCTGCTTGACAAGAATTCTCATAATGAGCGTTGATCAGCTTGCTTCTTCAATGGAGGGGGTTTCGAGGAATGCTAAGGCTTTCTCGAATAAAAGAGTCAATGTCGTATTGGATGAATCAAATTTCTGTTGTGGAAGCAACAGGTGCTTCTAACCGTTCGCAGCCATAGACTTGAACGACTTCTCACTGGCTCCATGACTGCTCCGTCAAACGGTGGTTATTGATTCTGGTGAGGAGGTATTGAACGAGTTATATGAAGAATATGTAGCTCAGGACAGTGCTTGCGTCCTGGTTCTGTCAACAATCAGTTCACAGTTGTTACCTCAGTTTGTCGGTGCTGAAACAGCCTCTGCTGTGGAGCACGGTGCTTCAGTTTTTCTCGAACAGATCCACAACGGCGGTCATCAGCTTGCACTACAAGCTTCAGTCTTAAGAAAGGAGACAAGTCTATGCGAGTTTATCTTACTCGCGTTAAAGAAGTGTGCGATGCATTGGCATCGTGTGGCAGTGTTGTGTCACAGGCAGTGCATGTTGCGAGCATTTTAAAGGGATTACCTCGTGAGTACTTACCTTTTGTGGCTGTCATAACAACCATGCGTGAATCGGTGTCTCTTGACGCTATTTACACTATGTTGATGGATGCGGAGACTCAATTAGCAGGGTTTTGTGATCCGCTTGAGTCACTTCCTATGAGTGCACATATGGTTCAAGGGCAAATGTCAAGTAAGACTGTGGATCAGTCTGATCGCAACACTGTGTCTCGTCAAATGTACTCACGTGGTCGATCGACTGGTCGAGGTCGGGGTAGGTCTCGATTGCAATGCCAATTATGTGGCAAAAATGGTCATTAGTCGACCGGTGTTGGCATCGGTTTGATGAAGACTTCCCTGTGTTACAGCCAACAACAACAATTATTCAAAGGAGGAGTCAGGAAATACTTACTATGCTGCCAAGGATAATTCATATGATTGCAATACCAGTCAAAAATCTGGTGCTCATCAGTTCAAGTCACAGGTTGCTCGTGAACACTGGGTGATGGATTCGGGTGCCACACATCATGTCACCTCTGATGGCACAAATATCTCACAGACAGTGGACTTTCATAATCCAGGTAAATTACTAGTTGGTGATGGGTGGTGCTTTAGATGTAGGTGCTACGTGTGAGAAAAACCGGTTCAATATTACTTCGAGGAAAGAAGATGGTGGCTTATACTCTTTTGTAGTTAACTCAACACCTGAAGATAATTTCAAGGCAGAGAATTACTCAACACAACTGACTACAGCTGTGTATGACTTGTGGCATCACGTTTGGGACATCCTTCGCATGATAGCTTAGTGAAGTTTGTAAAGAATAAATGTAATTCTTCCTTCAAGTGTTAATAAAACGTGTGTTGCATGCCAAATGGAAAGAGCCATAAATTGTCGTTTCATGCTTCTACAACAGTATATGATGCTCCTTTTCAGTTAGTCTTCACAGACCTCTGGGGACCTTCACATATTACTTCGACTGGTTACAAGTACTATGTCACCTTTGTTGATGCATGTACCAGGCACTCATGGCTTTACCTGCTCAAAGACAAAGCTCAAGCAATTAGTGCATTTGAAATGTTCCAGCAGATGGTTAAGGTGCAGTTTGGTTTGCCCATCAAGGCTGTTCAGAGCGATTGGGGAGGTGAATATCGAAGGCTGTCGAGCTGCTTGTTGAAAGCAGGTGTTGCACACAGGCTCACATGTCCACACACTTCTGAACAGAATGGAGTGGTGGAACGCAAGCATCGTCATGTGATAGAACTAGCCCTTGTGTTGCTAGCTCAAGCGTCGATGCCTATCAAATTTTGGGCGTATGCAGTTGTTACTGCAGTTCATTTAATTAACAGACTGCCTACAAGGGTCTTGCATGGTGTATCACCGTTCGAGAAGCTATTTCATCAAAAACCAGCCTATGGACAGCTAAGAGTATTTGGTTGTCTCTGTTTTCCTCATTTGAGACTATACTTGAAGCACAAATTGGACTTTAGGTCCAAACCATGCACCTTCTTACGCTATAGTACTCGACATAAGGGTTTTCAGTGTCTTGCTGATGATGGTCGAATCTATATCACAAGACATGTGGTGTTTGATGAGAGTCAGTTTCCATTTGCAAAGAAATGTGCTCAGTTACCTGCTGCTACATCAACCATCAACAGACCATCTGGTTCAATTGAAATTGTCACTGATGTTAGCAGACTTCAAGAAGAAAGTATGCCTGGTGCAAGCTCAGGTCATCAGGTGGAAACTGCTGATAATGTGTCGAGTACTCAGCAACAACCGTCGAGTGAAGTTTCAGTCACTGGTCAAAATACTAGTAATACTGAGCAGATTGAGGTTGTCAGTACACATGGTGAGACTCAAGACTTGAGTACCACTGAAGAAGGTGCAGAAAATTTGTGTGATGCACAAGTTAATAGTCATCCGATGATGACAAGGAG